CAGCAGTACTTCACTAACAGCATTGCCTTCACGTTTGGACTGTAATCCTTTTTGTTACTGTAATCCTCAACACCCTAAAATTAAAAAAAAAAAAAAAGAGTTCTGGTTTTCCCTCCTGCAGTGGAAGTCTAGTGACGGACAGCCCGAGGGAAGGGTCAGCTCGAGATAGGCCCACATAATAAATTTGCCATGACGTAACAGAGACAATATCAGGAGACTTCCTTTTGCTTACACACAAATACGCTCATTCTTTACTGGAAACTCTGCTGTAAATGACAAATGTACAAGACAAATGTACACGAAAGGAGCAACCAGTTTAAACACTAAGGCCACCGTGCTGGAAAAACACAGACTCTGTTCTTTTCACTCTATGTAACCACTCCCCTGTTAGACAACAACTGAGTAATGCTGCACTCAGGAGTGTCATTTATTTTCTGCTTATAGAGGTTTACTCATCAGTTAATTTGACCTATATACGATAAACATAGAAAGTATAAGATCACAAAAAAGAAAAGCTGCAAACTCACATTTGGGAAACTAAAGTTAGGGATTTTTTTTCTCCCGTTTATCAGAAACTATCACTATTAAAGAACTGGTTGTTTGAATCCCCGCTTTAACAGTGATTGCCAGCTTCTCATAGCTGGCGTCCCATACGCAAAGGACGTGTTTTACACTGTGTGTGGTTGCATGATCATAATCTTATTGTCAGATTTGTCAGCAGATAATGGGGATACGTATAGGGCCAAAACAAAATATTCATTCACTTTAAACATGCATTTACTGAATGTGTTAAAAACAAAAAACAAAAAAAACCAACAACACTTTTTTGAATGTATGATTTCCTTAAATTTTAAATTAGTACATAATTTAAATGAAAAACAACCAGATAAATGAAGAAAGGGAGATGGATGAAGGGCAGGACACAGGCTGATCTGGTGTAGAGATAATGGTGTGTTTTTCAGTATTAGCGCACCTTCATACACTAACCCACCTCAGGAAACCGGTCGTTCCATCATCTCAGCAGACGAATCAGAGTAGCATACATACATAATTCCACCATGTGAACAGGAGCCATCAGTTCGGCAGACAGACGACAAAAGGTCTGTATGCCGAACTGTAAATTTGCAAGTCAGGGCGTCATAAACCAAAGTGTATGCTGACTGGACAGAACACGGCATCGCAGCGACGCACAGAGAAACAGAGAGCCAACACCTCCTGACCCCTCTGTCCCCAAAAGTGGACCAGGTGAGAGACCACCTCATCCATAGCTGCAACAAACTGTTCCCAACATAAACTCATCTATTGAAACATTTTCAACTTTTGCTCCTTCTGCATGATCTTGGCTCTAGCTAAGCTAAAGTAAGAGATTGGGCTTTTAGGGTGGAGGAAACACATTCAACATCTGATTCGCTATAGTAAAAATGCAAAAAAGTAATCAATGTGCCAGATTCGATTAAAGATCAATGTAATTTAAAAAAATCTATTTTTTAAATAATCATTGGATGCAAAATTGTAATTGAAATTAAAATTTAATTAGCTGCCCACTGTTAGATAGTTAACAAAAAAAAGCTTGAATTTTGCGGTTATTGTCTACTTACTGAAATATTGGAGATTGTTCAGTAGCGAAACACAAATTTAAAGCCAGAATACTTCACACACAAACTGATTCTGTGGCCGCAGATTTCAACCCCAAGGGGCGTCCAGTGAGAATGAACATTACTTTGTAAAATATGCTTGATCAACTAATCTGGAACACCAGTCTTAATAACAGAAAGACATGAGCAAATAAATCAATGAATCAATCTCCAGATCAGTGGTGGGACCTTCGTCGACTTCCTCCCAGGCCGCTGGGAGCAGACTACGCGTTTATGGAAGACATGTCCCTCTGGACACATTTAGGTTTATTACAGACAATTAGAGTTAATCGGCGGTGTGGTACTCTCAGGTGAGAGGCTCATTCAATTGACAACCTCCCAAGCGGAAGCACACTTACTAATTACTGAATCACCACGTAAACACACCAGGCGGACTCATACAGGCTGTCGCGTGATACCTTACTCACCTCTAGCACAACTAGCCAGAACACCTGTAAGATTCAGCAGGTTAGTAATGAGAATCTGACACATTTACACCTGTTAGTGCAAAATAGCAGGACCGGTTTTACAACAAAAAACACCCACTGGGGAAAAAGAGATTGGATTTATTAACTTGCAGCAGCTTTGTTTAAAACCAAATTGCTCTTCAAAAATTGTGCTGTTCAATTTTGTTTTATTGTCTGATCATATGTTTCATTGTGTGACGACATTCATTATTTTCTTTACACACAGATCAAGAGGTTCGAATGAAAGCAGAAGGAAACAAACTGCAATTAAAAGTCAGAGATCTGAGATGAAGTACACTGTAGCGTACACTGAACTTACTGTAGGAAAATCAAAATCCTTCTGGTTTACTAGGTTCAGGACATAATCAATCCGAGACTGGTTCTCAGGACAGGCTAACTGGCAAGGAGGTGTGAGCGTATTCATGGCCGCCACAATCGTCTGTATGAAAAGAAAACACAAACACAAAAAGCCTCATTCATTAATATTATTCATAAATGTGTTTACACTGCCTCAAAACGGCTTTAGATACAAATTTTCATCATCTTAGCCCCTCAGTCACCCACGCTTAGAGGCTGTTCAGCAATCGCCAACAACCACCACCTGCTAGGGATAAATCTGTATTCCCCATGTGGTTGGAGGTATCCGAGACTGCACCGCAAGCCTCCACCTGATTGCTTTGGTCGCTAGCAGGTTGCTTCTAGTTTGCATCACACTTTTTGAAATTTCTCCACCACCTGGCGAGTGGGTAGTGGGTGTTTGTAGACGAGATGATGCAAACTACAAGTGACTGTGACAATGTGGTACTGCCCAAAGTAACAGCAAGGAGAGTTGTGGTGCAGCAAATTTTTGTAACGACTCCCAGCTGGTTGGGAGCGCACATGGGGTCGCTGACCGGTCTGAAGGCATGTGTGACTGAAAGCCTCCTCGCTTAGAATAAAGCATTGAGTTTTGGATTTTTTTATTAATTTTTTTAAGAAACTATAATCCATGTTTTTTCCTCTTTTAGCCAAAAACCTGCATATCAGACAGAACGTTACAAACAAACATCATTCATCTATCAAAGGAAAAAAGAACAGTGTCTTACCTCTATAGCTTCTTTAATGTTGTTTTTAATATCATGAATTTTCTGTTTTTTCTCCCTGTGAAGACAAGAGTTCGCATGTGCTTTATTTATTTATCACTTAAAAGCATAGATGGCAACTAGCTTTAATTGACCTAAGCTGCAAAGGTTAACAGTGAATGATGACATTTAAAGAAATATTCCTGTACAGCTATGAATCCAAATATGGCCATCGCAGTGCAACAGGAACAGGAAACAATATTTTTAAATAAATAAAAACCGTAATTACACAGAGATGTCAGTCCCAGTGGATTCCAGTGGAAATGTACTGTGTAATATTAACTTCTCCAGGATGTATTTGTCAGCCTAGAGCTAAATTATATGTGACATCAGTATTACGACTGCCCCACATACACAGATATTTTGTTTATTTGCTGACCAAGTGCAACCACTGAATTTTGCTGATACCAAACAAGAACAGCAGAGCTTGTCTTCATTTTGACACTGACATTCGTTAAACACAGCTAGTTGATTGTTATAGTACATTTTTGTACTATAGTTTGAGAAGTCATGAACACCAAGCAGCCCAAAGTACTGCTAAATTAAATAATACGGTCCACATTTTGTCCTTCCTTGTCGTTGTAGAGATAAACAGAATTTCACAACGTGGCAGTTCATGCAATCTGTGAGCTTTGCTGATATTGCGAAGCACTGACGTCACACAGAAACATAAGTGCTGGATTCCTTCAAATGTGTCCTGACAAAACACAAAAGTCTGGTTGTTGAAATTCAGATTTGATAATGAATTCCACAAATATCTCAACAATGGGCTACTTAACCTTACAGCAAGAATACAAACCCTAAAATTAAGCGTGTACAACTTGTGCTGAGGGGAAAGATTTTAAATTAAAGGCATGGGTGGATATCTCTCGCTCATGCGTCCTATGTAAATTGTAAACAAAACTTCCCAGTTGTAGCCACTTCACATGTTAATATAAAAGCACATGTGGGCATTTTAATCAGCTACCATCGCTGTCTGGCACTGAAATAGTAAAATATGTCAATATTTTAACCAAAAATATTATAGTTCTGGGATGAATGCTGGTCATTTCTAATTGATATTCAAATCTTTTCAAGCGTTGTTGATAATAAGTTGGATTAATAACAATTATATCATAACAGGCAACACAACAGCAGCACAAATTCCCCAAAACAACCCCGTGTCACTTATTCTGAGCACTTTCTGCCTTATTCCAGATGTGAATTTTTGCAGTGATCCTCATTCTCACCTATGACTATTTCTCCATACAGAGACCAACACAGCTGTACATATTTCTTTCGTCTGCATATTTACAAATATTTTTAAAAAGCACCCAATTTCTCTAAATAATTGGCATTTAAATTCATGTCAGTAGGATATATTCCTGACTGGTGAAAAAAAACAAGTCAAAAGAGCACAGAAGACCTGAACACGCACTAAAACTGACCTAATGACATGAAACGCAATCAGGCTAAAAAGAGAAATCCATCCCAAGTACAAAAATCCATTCACACAGTTGCTTTCACAGGATTTTTGCACACATCCCTGTTTTGTTTTTTCAAGGCAAAAATGAATCGATTCCTTTCTGATTGCTGGTCAAACCAGTCGCTGACTCTATGTGATAAAATTCACCAAAACACATGCTGTAAGCAGCTTCAGGTACTTTTCCTGCTATGAACATATGTGTCACAGTCAGTAATCACTAACTAACAGCAAGTCTGTGAGTAACTTGATAAAAGGTCAAATAAAACCTGACTGTGTTTGAGTTTGTGATCTCTCTACGGTCTAAAGGAAGCTTTGCTCAGGTAACACTCGAGTACAACCATGAGTGCACTCTGTTGACCACTGTTGACCTACCAAGTCCAACAGAGTCAGTCCTTTCTCCCAGTTAAACTGTCATTAATCTAAAAGAAATGATGTGAGTTTCTAAACTCAGCTGCTTTAAATCAAATCTCCTAGATAACAGGCTGTAATTCATAAGGCTACAGCTTTTTTTTTTCAATATATTTTTATTGATTTTATAATTGAGCAGTATACAACAATCACCTTCAAAAGAACACAATAGAAGTCAACAAGGTGGTAATACAGCACACATAAATGTTAAGACAGAGTATATTTCACTTAAGTTTATCCATCAGGCTAATGACTGGTTGCCAAATCTTATAAAACACACTCTCTCGGTTAGACAAGGTAAAGCTGATTTTCTCCAGATGGAGTACATTTCCAAATTTTCTCAACCACATTTCGAAGGTAGGAGGTTTATCAGACTTCCAGCAGAGAAGTATCAGCTTTCTAGCCACAAGTGTAGTCATTGACACAACCTGTCTCTGTCTTGTCCCTTGCCCATCCCGGTTCAGACACCCCGAATAATGCTGCAAAGGGGGTACATGGGACCTCCCTGCCAATGGCTTTGGTCAGAAAATCTAACAAATGATTCCAAAAAAGCTGTAGTTTTTGGCATTGAAAGAAAAGGTGAGATAAAGTTCCTCGACCACTCGAACACTTAACACAGAGGGCTGAAACGTTCTTATATATTTTTTCCACTTTAGTAGGAGAAAAATGCAACCTATACACAACCTTAAATTGGATCAGACAATGTCTAGCATTTATAGAACTACAATATATATTCTTAATGCACTCTTGCCAAAGATCATCAGTAACATCCACCCCCAGTTCTTCCTGCCACTGCTCCCTAAAAGTATCAGATGAAGGACTGTATATATCTAGTAAGGCCCTGTAAAAGCGAGACACAGCACCTCTAGTGTAGGGCTCAACTGACATCAAGCTGTCAAGCACCGAGTTTCGAGGAATCAAATTGTATTGTGGAATAGATGCTTTGATGAAATGTCTTAACTGTAAAGGCTACAGCTTTTATATCAAATTATTAACATCATTCTATATTACCACGGTATGCTTTAAAGTGAGCTTAAAAAGCAAGTTGCTAGCCTATGACTCGCGTCCCTCTGCTTCACATTCAGATCCATCTCTCACTCATAATGTCTCGATTTATTTTAAAAAACAAATAAAATGGTGATGGCACAAATACTCAGTTTGATGTTAGTCTATGGGTTTACCTTGCCACCCAACCTTGTCATGTGTTTCATTCTCTTTGTCTAACTTGTTTATATTTTCTTCCAGTTGGCTTATTGGTTGACTCAACAGTTGTAGCCTGTCTAAAAAAAACAAATAATTAAATAAAAAAAATATTGTCCTGATGCTTTTTGGCTACATCTATGTGAACACTCCCACCCGCCTGAAAATACAACAAAGTGATTGCAAGCATTGTTAAGAACATGCCAAAGTAGCATGTGGTGATATAACCCTACCCATAAAGAAATCCCAGCCAATCAAAAGCATACAAGCAAGCAGCAAACAACGCAGAACACGGCAGCTTCACCTCCATCCTAGCTGGGAGGAGCTAGGATGTGAGGAAGCAACGTGAGTGAGGGAATTGAGGCTCCATGTGAATGTAATGAAACTCACTCAAAGGCTATATTCTTCACACTAGGACCTCCACAAGATAAATAAGTAAATAACAGATCACCTCTATTAAAGGGAGCTGTCCTGCTCAGTCACCTCTCGTGCCCCCCACCCATTTCCTGGTGTGTCACTAAACACCACCATCATCATCATCCCACTACCGGCACCTTACACTGAATGGCAAAGCCTTGCATGCAGAGGGGGAAACCCACAGAGTGAAAAGGAACCCTAACAGAGACTGGGAATTCATCACTGCACCGGGGCGCCTGGGTCTGTGAGAAGCGTCTGTTTGATGCGACCCAAAAATAAGCACATGATGATGCTTCTAGCCCAAAATCCCTTTCAAGGAAACTGATGATTAAGAATAGAAAAATGTGACTTTTATTTCCACTGCATCAAGTTGGGAAGGAGTTTTAGGAAATTCACAAGACAGGGTGGCTAAAAGCACCCAAAGCCATGTTTCCACATGAAAAGCTGACAAGGACAAAGCCTTCCTCCTGTGCCACACAACTTTTCACTATTTGCTCCACAACAATACAAAAAAAACCCCCAACAACTTTATTTTCCTAACTCACAGGAATGACAGGCGCTCCTCCCCTCTGTTAAGAACATCGGGTTGAAAAAGTGAGAATATGTTTAGTAAATTTTACAGTTTACCAAAAGGAAAAACCTTTTATTTCTTTGTTATAAATGCGAGACAACATAAAGCACATCTAAAGCTGTGTAATTACCTTTAAAAGGCATTTTGCTGCTTAAACTTTCTCTAAGCAACCTTTTTCAGTCACTGCGTCTATTTATCAGTAATGTTAACAAACAGCTGGCTCACAGCACAACTCAGACACCAACGCAAACTTGCAGTAAGTACAAAAAAAGACAAACTCATGTTACTTCAGATGGTACACAGTTCAGCTGAGTTCTCCATAGGGATTTTGATTATGAGCCATAATCCTGTAGTGATCCAAAGTGAACATAACACGAGGTTTGATATTGTGAAACGATGGTATGATATCAACCTTCCTTAAAGACATTATATTCACCATGTTACAGAAAAAAAATATATAACCAATCAAATGGCAGCGATCTTCTACCAGTATGATTGACAGGAGATCGGTGTTACCATGGAAATGTTTAAATCAAGCTCTATTGTATCTAAGTTAGAAAGGAAATGGTTGGTTAGAAGGATGTCCACCTGCTATGTTGGGCAGTGATCTGTCCATACCAGCAGTTAGGCTAATGTTAGCTAACACTGGCCAGAAGACCATCTGATGCAACTTGGCTAGCAAATATTCATCTTATTAAATAAACTTTTTTATCCTTATACTGACACCAAGGTGTACATTTATCTTTCAGCCACTGTAGACTGCATATAAATGACAAGCATAACAGGTCAGGACAAACTGGAGTTTGTCTCCTCACTGATTTGGTTGATGCTAATCGTAGCTAGAATGCGAGTACGTGCTCTGCCGACGTCACGTTGACGTCAGTGCACTTAACGACAGGTGTCATTACTAACAATGGTTTTCTGGAAGAAAGAGCCTCTGGGTGTTGCAGAGGCTTAATTCTCAATTGTCTACACCTGACGAGGCGTGGATAAAGGCATGCCTCAGGTTGGCTCGGGGAAAGATGCCACTTCTTACCTTCATGCTCTCCGGGCTGTCGTCTTTAGCTGAGGTTAAGTAATTTAAAATAAAAACCAATGTTTCTGCAAACTCTGGACTCAGTCTACACTTTATGTTGCGTCGAGCCGAGCTGTGACATAAGGACCTGGAAGTCTGTTTTAATTCTTATAAACAATGTGGAGTATATTTAACCAGCATGCATCGCTACTGATTTTAGAAAAGGTAAAAACCAGAAGATCCTGCTGTGCATGAAGTTAATACAAAGTAAGGAACTACTGCAGCAGTGCTTCTGCAATCTAAAAACAGTTTACACTCGCTGCATTACGAGGTTTTATAAAAAGGTAAATGCCTCTTAAAATACTGCACTTGATGCATATTGTTTAACCCACTATGATAAAATACTAATATATATATATATATATATATATATATATGTTATTTGTTGGTGTATAGACATGTATAAAATATTTTTTAAACAGTTATCATAAAAGGCTTTCAATCTGATTTACCATTTTCACAATGAATCCAAAAACATTTTGTTTTTTCTTTCATTGTCCAACTAACACTTCAAATACAGTATTACTGTTAGCTATAATATAAAAATTCATCACTTCTAAATATATGGTTAAAGAAATGATTTATAGGTAAGAACAGTAACATCCAATGCTTCTTTTTACTTCTGTATTTAAGGCGATTTTAAAAGTAATAACTAACCAAGTCTCCTGCTCTACCTGAAAACTTGAAGACTGGTGGGAAAGGTATTTTGTATCAGTGGTATCTTCTTAATGCTCCATTACTCCTCTCCAAAACATCATTACATAATTTAGGTATTTGGTCAACAAATATGTCAGTACCTGAGCAGATATCCATCTAAATGGGTTCCTTTCCTCTAAAGAGAAACTGTGGGAGTGTTTAGTGAATAGTGAACTGAGGGGGAACCAGCGAAACTTACTCTGCGTTGAAGCCATTAACGTGCAATATTCGCATCTGTTTGACTATCGTGCTTTTCCCGGATTCACCAGCCCCTGAAAGCAGAGAAACAACAAGTCAGACAAGAGTTTCCTGAAGTTGTACAAGCAACTAAAATATCCAGGAAGGAGCAGAGATGGAAGGCATTTTGATGTTCCAAGGTTAGACGAGTCCTGGAAGCACTAAACAGCGACGCCTATAATGATTTGAACTACAACAATGTTGCACCTTAGCAGAGAAGTCCTGTCCATTGTGCACAGACATTGCCCTGTCACAGGCCTTACCTACTTTTAAACAGTGCATGTTACACAAAAGCCAAAAGGCGAGACCTCGATGTACCCAACCTAAAAACCTTTTACTTTTCTTATCTCTTTTTACTGCTCTTATCATTGACTGCTCTTATCTTATGTATGAAGAAACTTGAGTTTTACTTGAGTATTCCCATTTCGACAGTGCATTTTACTTCACTGTGTTTAAGAAGGAAATATCCTTTTTTAAAACATTACTTCATGTATTTGTTACTTTGCAGTTTCTGATTTTACATTAAAAAAACAAAAAGGTCAGCTTATTATACACACTGCATTGTTAAAGATTAAACCGGTGGTTCCTGCCAGTTCTGGCTAGTGACCTCTTCCAAAGGCAGTTCCTCCAAAGAGAGATTTCCCCTTTAAACGTCTCATTTAAAGAACAATTTTGAGACCCATTATGTCACAAAGCAACACACACAGATCAGAAAAGCAAACCTCATGACCCCTTAGATTTCTCCTGTGACCCACTCCGGGTGGCGAAACCCTTATCTTGGGAACCACAGGTAACTTCATGAATTGTTCTACCTCACCTTGGCAAAGCACTAAACACTAGGATACTACTTTTAACTTGTACTACGCATTTTATGCAACACTGAATCGTAAATACATTTAGCTTGTGTAGTTTTACATAGGGAGAAGGCTGATGCACGACACGTGCACTTTCACCAAAGTCTGCCCCTTCTTCCAGAGGCGACAAGGACCAAGGAAGAAGAAAAAAAAGAAGCTCCAACATGTAGACAACTATTCTCTCCCCGAGCATGTCATTCAGGAGAAAAACTGCTAGACCCTGAACCCTGATGTTAATAATTAAGAAAATAAATTTCTGGATAAGAACAGCCTTCAACGTGTCCTTGCAAAACTGAGTGTGAAAGGAGCCCGGCCATCACATCTCCATCCCCAAGCACCAGGAGCCAGCCAGGTTACAGGCCTGCTTTTCAGAGAAGGCGTAGAGCGAGAGAAACAGGCATTCAAGGCAAACTAGTAATCCTAATTTGCACTCTGTAGTCCAGCACAAGGGCTGGCCTTAAGGTTCGCACTGCATCATGTCAGGAAGGCTCTCGTGATGAGGCCAAAAATAGCTTTACCAAATAATGGCTAATTAGAGGATATTAATTTCCAGAGTGGGTGGTGTGGAGGGATTATGCAAAAAGAGAGAGAGAGAAAAAAAAGTATGTCATATGCAGTATGAAAACTAGGCTCAACCAGGATGTACGCTGCAGCCACAAATGAACCAGATCACAAGTTTGGTTTTGGTTTTTTTACATGTGTGGAGGTGAGAAAGAGCCATGCACAAACGCCCGCGAGTGGCCTCCCGGCCTCTGCGTGGTGCCTGTGTGTGTGTGTGTGGTTCCCTCACACAGATGTTGGTGTCTGTCTGCCCCCCTCTCTCTCACATGTTCTGCAATCATGCTCCATAATATCCCATGAATGCAGACAGGCCTGCTTTTTCAACTGTCCTGTGCCAAGACGCTTGAAGCGAATTAGTCGGGACTTCATGGCGTTGCATCAGTTCTTGACGCCTTGCTGTAACAGTGGTCCTTACACACTTTTCATGGGTACAGTCTGCTACAGTGGCACCAACATGAGTTAAACAGGTGAAAATGCTGTTTTGTAGGAACAAAATGGAAACAGTAATGTTAAATTTCACAAAACCTACCCAACAGCAGTAGCCGGTGAGTTGCCCGGTATATCTGTTTGTCTTTTTGGAGCTGCTTCTCAATCTTTTTGTTGGCTTCCCTCTGTGCCTTCTCCTCATTTCGTTGGTCTTCAGTCTTACTATTGCCAAGGCAGCCCATCTTCCCAAAAACCCAGTTGCAGGTTCGGGGTTTGGAGGCAGGGCGGTTGATATGGTTGGGGTAGGTGGGTGAAAGAAGAGGGTGATGATCAGAAAAGAGAGGATTTTTTTTTTAATCAATCCCAAATTCCTAGACTGGCCCAAGAGAGGAACACCTGGCTCAAAATGGGTGACATGTATTTTGCCAGATGCAGAAGAAGTAGACGCCAGGTAGTAGACAGTGAGCTTCACCAGGCTTTGGCACAATGTGTATGTGTGGAGGAGGGGATGGGGTGGGGGGGGTGTGGATATTTACTGGCAATTTATCAGCAACAGATCAGTCAGAAAGGAGCAGAGCTACGATGCCGCCCTTCTCAGATGCTTGATTCCTGTATTTTTTCCCCCCACTGTAAATCCGCAATGAAGTCATCAACATTGATATGAGAGTGGATGTAAAATTTCCAGCTTCTGGCTGCACATGAATGAGCGTCTAGAGGTGGCGATGGTGCTGGTGGTGGGGTCCAGCTTCCTTAAAGGTGTTTTTTTAAACCCCCCTTCTTTTCCTCCTTTGTTTTAAATATACACGTATGTATATTTTCTCAAGCTTTGATGTTAAATCTTCCTCAGCAAATGTCTCCTCCGGAGCCCATCTTTGGCAGATGCCTCACTATTCTGCCGTTCAATTCATTTCCACTCACAACCAAAAAGAGCCCCGTTTTCTTTTTTTCCATCGACTCTCCCTTTAAATATAATTTCAGGTTATTATTTGAAATCCTATCTCAGGCTGGCCAGGGAAAAAAAAGCACATTAACAGGGCGGATGGGGAGAAATTAAAAAATAAATATTTTCTCTTAAAATGACGGCATGTGAATCATCAGGCTACAACCCGGGCTTCTGTCTCCACCACAACAGTCACATTATATATAGGAGCCTTATCAATAAGATCCAGTTTTTAGCCGATGTCCAAATTATTTCCTCTCCCCCGTAAGTAGATGCTGGTGCTTGGCTTTTTTTTCCTGAGGTTTCACGAGAACCCCCCCACCCCCCAAAGAAAAGAAAAAATGAAAAAGAAAAAAGAAAAGAAAAAAAGGGGGGAAAGAAACAAGGCCCCTTCTCCGTCCTTTTTCTCTCCGTAACGTCAATTTATATTTCTCCTCACATCAGAAAGCTTCTCCGGGGCCGAGCTAAGGCGGTGTTTGGCAGCTGGATGTCCTTGAATATAGCGCGATATCCAGGTGATATTCGTGGAAAATCCTCCGTTATTTTCCCGTTTGGCGCAGGTACAAGGCGCTGTCAAGTCTCTCGGATTTTTGTATTCCCTTTGAATCCGTATGGTAGATTATGGTTACATGTGCATGATACATGAACATACCGCGGTGTTTTCAATCACTGGTCCAACGGCGACGCTGTCATTTTTAACCGCCGACAGGCCGCGGTTGCTCCGATGAACCGGTCGGGGAGGTGAGACTCGTTTCTTTGCTGTGTTACCCTGAATTATTTTTGCCCACCTTTTTTTTTCTCTGAGAATTGAACATTGAGATAGATAGCGTTGTAGAGGCGGGGTGGGGCAAACGGCTCTCACGGAACCCTGGGAACGAAGAACCGTGGTCAAGTTTTCCGGGACGGAGAAACTCGACTTCCGCTGGAAGCTTTCACAATAAAAGCCGAATGGACGCATAAGCGGAACTACCCAGAAACGAATCTCTTAAAAATAGATGTTTTCGTCCTTTTTAAGTATTTTTTGCTGACATATTTACACACACAAAAACAAATACAGGGTGTGTATACAGTTAGGTCACACATCTTTGATTTAATGTTTTTCTGTGTTTTCATTTTATTTGTATTTTTGCACTCTACAAGACTAACATTGGCTGATTGTATACTGGACCTTCAGTTCACAGTTCACTAATTTGAGGTCATTTCTTACTATTATATATGGGAGCTTATTTTGACTGAAAAATTAATTAATTAATTTTAAAAAAAATTGCCTTCCAGTTCAAATTTCTTGTTTTTCTTTTCAATTTTTGGCTTTCTGACTTTTTTGAACTTTTTTTTTCCAAAGTTTTGGTTAGTTTGAAATTTCCTTTTTTTCCCCCTTTTTTGGCTTTTGGTTGGGAAAAAAATTAAAATTGTTTTGGTTGTTTTGTTTATTTCTTTCCGTGGCCTGAAAACAAGCTTTCATAATAATTTACAAAATGTCTCTGTTGTGGCCTTCTTCAGACACAAAAAACTTGTGGACTGATGTGTATAACTAGTAATAATAACATAAAACGGTAATTACAATGGAGGTAACGTAATAGTGATGGGGTTATTTCCCCTGCAAAAGGAAAAAAAAAACGTCATAATTTTTTTTTTCACCTTATATTTTTAAACTTCACCATCATACACCGGCTGCACCTGACATTTCAGAACAGCTGCCTTTGAGGGAAGTGGCACGAATAGGAAGTTGGGCTGAATGATGACCTTTATCCTATGATTATACATTTCTACCTCAATGATGGTGCTCTACAATGTCCCGATTTATAGGTAGCGATGAGTCATTAAATGATTTGAGTACAAAAATCACATCAGCCGTCATAATCCCAACTTAATGTTTTGCAGAAGAACAAAAAGGAATTTTTTGGGTTAAAAAATGCAAATAGCTTGTGACTTGTTTTGATAGCAAAGGTCCTCACAGTGATGTGTCATAAATGGCCTCCACAGTCATGTGCTCTCAGCCCCATCCAACACTGGAATTTTAGACTTCCAATTTTAGACAGCACTTTCCACCACTGTTACCACCAAATGCAAGAAAATCTTTTGAACATCTGGGTTTTGAGGGATTATCTGGTGGCACATGGTGGTCTAAGACCTTACTAAGACAATTTATGTTGTTGTTTTGTTTAACTTTTCACCATTTAATATACAGGGGTCGGGGTCTTTAGAATTCTAAACCATGCATTTAATAAAAGGGAACGTCAACAGGCTTAAATTTGAGCCTTGGCTAATTTGTCCAGAGGTCTCAAAGAAACCCCAGTACTCCTATAAGTGTAAAAAAAAAAAGGGAAATATTTACAATATTTTATTTTATTTACTAATTTAACATGTGACATTTGACATTGCTTCACTAATCCATGCAAATCTATGTGGAGCTCAGGGCAAAGGGTTCCTGATAAATATAGCCCTGCAGCAACAGAAAATCCCAGAAAAAGCTTAAAATAAAAATCAGGCATCCAAGCATTAATTGAAGGGAAAAAAAACAGCCTTTGAAACTTTTGCTATGTGAAACATTTATTCTTTTCACAGATTTTTGCAGTTTCTTTAAAATCCTCTCTCTGAACTGCACAAAACTTACAGCCACACAAGTGGAGTTTTAATTATTTTTAAAATATATTTAGCAAATACATTATTTTTTTTAGTATATATATATATGTGTGTCTGTGTGTGTGTGTGTGTTAAAGTATAACGTTTCACCTGAACTGCGAAAACAGAACAAACATCAATACATTTAACCCACCCACCAAATCTTAAGGCCGAGAAGGTACTTTTGGCTTTTATTTTGAGGGTAATGTGAGAGTAATGCTCGTTTCCGCCTGCATGCCACTTGACGCATCTGGAATGAAGCAGGGTCGGATCACATGATTGCCCGGAGCGTCATGAAGCAGAGGTACAGAAGGGGAGAGGCGCCCTCTTTGAAGCAAAATGATTATTATCCTGTCCGCCGCCTCAGTCAACACCTCTGACAAACTTTACATCAAGTTATTCAAATATCGGCTCATAAAGAGGTTAATGCTTCCATATACATTCAATCGCAGTAACGCCGCTAGGTTACTAATAACAGAAATATGCGACTATCAACAGTTAATAAGTGAAGGGCAACAATCTTGTTTAGCAAATTCTTCAGGTGGCAAAAATGGAAAAAAAAGTCAGTGTAAAAAGAAAGTGATAAATCTTGCAGCCTTTCAGAGCAAATGTATCACATGGTTTGGTACAAATTACTACTTTAATGGCACGTTGTCACATCTAATAGAAAAAGTAAAAGTAAGCTCTCCGTTTGTAACATTATTATTGTCACTTCATTCCCAACTAAACAGTGATTATGAAAGTCAAATTAGCGCTGTCAGTTATTTGAGAACGAAAAAAAAAGTAGCGATGCCCTGTTGGAATCGTATTTTAAAAGCTGCGAATAAACTTTCATTAAATTACAAAAGACTACAACAGTCAATGCAAAACAAATGCTGAGACTCTGATAGAGGACTTCAGGAGGAGAAGGATATCTATAAATCATGTCCTGCCTTTCACAGTCTGCAAACCAATTCAACACCTAATGGAGCTTCTGAAACAGCGTTTACAGGGCTTTGCCAAAGACCACTGAGGTCACATTGCTTTAGTAACTCATGGTTTTTATTAATCTGGCATTGAGAGACTACCAACACTTTTTAGGGTATGTTATGGTTAACGCTAAGCCTAGGATAGACCTTTTTTATATATATATCTTATGTCTATAAAAAAAAATCATGAAGCTGAAATGTGCATTTAGCATCCAGCAAAAACAAGATGTAGTAATATTAAAGTTCGAACCTTACAAGTCTCCACCTCCACGTTAGGTACTCAATAAATAGTTCCATGCCATCTTTACTTTGATATAACGGAAGTTTATTTCAAATGAAAGAACAATTATTTTTGTCATCTATAAGTCAAAATTGGAATTATTATTTCAGAAATTGAAGCCTTTTTTTCCTCAGATGTTTGAGTTAGTCAAAATTCTGATATAGCCACATATGGCTGAAAAATTTTTGTATGTTTGATTGTTTTTTTTTTCCACTGCTGGAAACAAACTTCTATAATAACACACAAAATCTCTGTTTGCATGATTATTTGTTTATCCTCCTAGAGCATCAGGAGCTAAACAACCAATCTTGGCACACAGGTACATCATAG